TCACGCCTTGGACTTGGACTTGGCCTTCGCCTTGCCGATGGCCGCCTTGTCCTGGCACAAATTGAGGGCCCCAAACACACCACCACCCCCCCCCCACACCCCTAAAACAGACCAAACTTGAGGGTCTGTTAAAGGGGGAGATCGGTGGGTTGTTGGTCCTATGTGATTCTAAAAGTAGGGAACCCCTAAAAGATGGCTGGTGTCCCTTTTGTTTCGCTTTTAGACAGTGAAAAGGGGGGGTAAATTATTTTCAGCCACAAAGGTGTCCAAATATTGGTCGCTTGGGTTGCCGGTGTCCAATCAAACTGAGACTTTTGGTCCAATCATGGAAAATGAGCCCTGACAGTTCTCCCCTTGTTTGATGGTGTTTACACATCACGCTGTGCGCTATGTCTAAAGGAAGCCAAAAGCGCCCATTTGGTGGAAAGAGGTTTAGACCAACAAAACAGGGGACTCTTGGCATATGGCTGACAAGCGTGGCAAGCAGCAGACGCGCAAGAATCAAGCAGCAAAGGAACGGGCTGAATGTTCACTTCCATGAGGATCACTCGATGAATTTTGATGGACGTCCCAAACTTTCTAGAAATGATGATAACTCTTGGTCAGGCACAAACAAAAAGAGGTGAGTGTGTGTGTGTGCCAAACGGACGTGCGTATGCAAAACAAGGGGGGGGCTGTCGGCATGCAGCCGCCAACTCACCCGGCCTTGGGGTCCGCACAGAGCTCCTTCATGTGGTTGCCTGAGCTCCGAGGAAGATTTGGTGAACCCTAAAATTGGTTGGCTTCCTTTGGGCGTCCATAAAAATAATAGATCCAGAATAAAGCCTAAAGTTGGTTGGACTGGCTTTGATTTGTCTTTTTGAAGAGGAGACTGGCAACATTGGGGTCTTTCCCTGGCTTTTGTGGAATTGGGTGGGCGCAAGTGAGGCCTTGTGCCGCACGTGGCCGTGTCATTCTTTGAGGGGAAGCGTTTGCTTTCGGGAGGTGGGTTCAAAGCACAACCACGATGAGAGGGACCACAATGAGGGGGGTCCCATAGTTTAAGTTAACAAGTTTGCTTTAAACCCTCCGAAATTCCTAGAAAGCCAGCCGCAAAGTTTGCCAAGGAAATGCCGGCCTCGCGCTCACCTCCCGCTTGAAGGTTCTCCGAATTGCCCGGACCGCTAAGTCTAAGAAACAAACCCCACAAGGCCCGTGAAAGCGTAGACCTGCCGCAGAAGCCAGCGAATGATGGAAAGTTCAGTTTGATGGCGCCCGTTTGAAAACAGGCAATGCTAGACGGCCACACCTTGCTTTTTTGTCAGACACCTGCAGTTGTTGCCCCCGTGCGTTTGGGGTGGGCTTAGGGTGGGTTTAGGGTAGGTTTAGGGTGGGTTTGGGGTGGGTTTGGGGTAGGTTTAGACTGCGTGCGCGGCAAATGTCAAGGAAAGGTCCGAAAAAAAGATCTATGCGGTGCAAACCTGGGTGCGCAAGGGAAAACGCTTCTCCAAGAAACCTAACCTTTAAAGCAGCTTTCCGTTGCTGAAAAGCCACCAATCGGTCATCCCAACCTCAGGAACAACCCAGAGCACCCAAAACGCATGAACTTTGGGCAAGATCAGAAAGGGTTTCGAGGCCTATTCTTCCAGGTAGAAAACCAAACATAAAAGCCTAATCTTGACCCCATATCAATCAACCCCAGTTTAATAGGAGGGTGTTTATGGCCCTTGGTGGGGAATCAGCAGAATATTTTGGAGGGGCCCTCACCCCCACCCTCCACCCCCCCACCCACCCCACACACCCCACACCTCACACCCCACACCCCACCCACCCCCACCCCCACCCCCACCCCCCCGCCCCCCGGCCCCCGGACCCCCGGACCCCCCACCCCCCACCCTCCGACCCCCCTTCTGTGGGTTGATATGGGGTGGACATTACCAAAACTTTGCCTGGAACCGAGGAGCTGAGCACCACCGCCAGGGAGGCCACGGTGCCGTGCTGCTGGGTCCTTAGCTTCAGCGGCTAGGGGGGCCTGGGGAAGAAAAGAAGAAGTCGGGGGGGGCCTCAAAGTGCCGAAGTTGAAAAGTAACAAATTGCGTGCCCCGTTATGCGAGGTTGCCGAAAGTAGACGGCCCTTTTCTCCGAACCCGCTTCGGCGACATTTAACGAAAGAGAGGGGATCCAAAAAAGGGTATGCGGAGTGGAAACCAGCAGGGAGCCTCAGAAGAGGAAATGGGGTTGCTCAACCCCCGAAATGGAGAGGCTTCCCTCTCAGCTAACCAAAAAAACTCATTCCTGAAACGTAGAAACCCTCATATTGTCCAGACCGAAAACATCACCCGACCCGATGTTTTTCAACAAGCGGTGGATGTCTTGCCATGAAAAAGCTCCCCAACGAGCCACGGCTTCCCCGGGTCGGCAGTCGCCGTCGCCCCGTCGAGGGGCCAGTCCGAGGGCAGGCGGTGGTCCAGCTCGCTGCCCAGCACCTCCATCATCTGGGCCCCCGCCTGCCGGGAGGAGAGTCGGGCTGACGCCTGAACTCGGTTGCAAAATCTGCTCTGCTAAAAGTTCTTATCTCTTGGTGCTTTAATACGGCGAACCCATTAGTTGGCAAACAGTGGTTGAAGTCCTAGCATCCAAGAAAAATGCACCACTGTGAACAGTTTGATGAGCGTCCAAGCAGGGCGGCGGGAAATGGAATCCGCTCCTGTGATGCAGGAGTAGGGCTTCCCGTAGACTACCCCCCCCCCCCCCGTTTTTAGGGGGAGCTTCCCTTGTATCACAGGGATAAACCCCATTGATCCCACAACCCTGCTTGCAAGGGCTTCCCTTTCAACGTTGGCTTGAAGACAGGGTGGAACATGGTTGGGCCTAAACACATTGGTGCTGGGAGGAAACTGGTTGTGACGTCTTGACTTTCGGGGCCTGATGGGACAATTAGCTGGGGGAAATTGGCTGGGCCAATCTTCTCGTCCTCCCCAAAACAAAAACACAAAAGCCAGTCGCTCGTGTGAGGTTTGGATTCCTAACATGGGCAGGACCCCCTAGAAAACTCAACCAGCGGTTTATGAAACTTAAGTCATGAATCGTGGGTTCTCCGTAGAAAAATCAACCAGGGTGTATGCATCGTGGGTTTAGAACCGCAAATGGAAGATGTGCACTCTGCAGCTCCTCTAAAATGGCTAGCACACCACCAGGGTATGAAGCCTGGCTTAACACGTAGTCTGGAAGATATCTGAAAGGACGCATCTCCACTAAACCTGTACTAGGGGGAGTTCTATGGCCACTGGTAATCAGGTGCCGTCCAAGAATATGACATGTACTGGGGGGATTCACTGGATCAACTGAGGCTTGACTGGGGCTTCTATGCGGGGAGTTGTTTGGATCTTTGCTTTCGGAATCACTGTGGCTTGACTGATTGCACTGCAAATTCGCTGGAGAGAGGAGTTGGGGATCTGAAAAGTCATGGCACTTTCCTTGGAACCATGCAAGGGCTCTCTCATTGTGATGCCTGAAAGATCAGGAAAACAAAACGAAGAAAGAACCAACAAAAGATGAAGACACAAAACAAACCTGGCCATGAACGGCCCAAAGGACGCAATCGGCTCTTCTTTGAGCCATCCGCCGTCGGCACAGCGGAATCCATACGGACCCCGCCGTGGCGTCCAGGCCCTGGAACCGCAGGTGATCCTCTGTGGACACGGTGGGGGACTCCTCAGCCGTTCAGCCGAAAGCCGAAGCCGCGGCGGCAAAAGCCAAAGAGGCCGCTGGTTCGTCTGACCAAATGGGGGAGGGGGGAGTGGGGGGAGGGGGGGGGAGGGGGGGAGGGGGAGGGGGGAGGGGGGAGGGGGGGGAGGGGGGAGGGGGGGAGGGGGAGCGGGGGGAGGTCTGTGGCTTGGGTCTGGATGAAGCCAAGAACCGGTCTTTTGATGGGTGAAAACGCGTCCCTTCCGGAGAAAATCACACATCAAGCAAGCCAAAACAAGCACTGAGCTCCGACCTGCAAAAGTCTCTGGTCAAGCTTCTCTAATTACCCGGAAACTGTGGAAACCCTGGTAAGGGACCTTCATCATGGAGATGGCCAGCTCGATGTAATTGGCCCATGTCTGCCAATCTCAGCCAAACGAACCCAGGCCCCAGACCAGAGCTTGGCGCATGGTGACCAGCACCTGACGTGGAGACGCGCGTGAGAAAACCCTCGCAATTGTCAGGCAGCAAATGAAGCCACCGGACTCGACCCTCAAAACTTCATCGATTTACTGGTGGCTCCAATGATAAACCGCCACGTTCAGGGATCCTTTCATGTCCAACCTGCATGTATCGCGCCATCAAAAGGAAACTCAGGTGAAGATAGCCCAACAGGCTTTTGAAACCATCAACGAAAGATGGAAACATTGGACCTCTGAGGAGATTCAGGAAATGAGTGCAAGAGGGCTGTCTCATTCAAATCCTTATCTTTGTCGAATTGCTACATGAATCCGCGAGATGTTTATTATGATTTGTCTTGACAATTGATCAGTATCACTACCTTCAGATTCCAAGTGTTATAAATATCATTGCTTGTTGTGCGACTTCTTCAGGGTCTCCATTTCCATATACGTTCCATGTCTAAGTCTTAGACGTGTCCAACTTCATTAGGTTGTCTGTTTGGATTGCTACATGTGTTTAAACAACAAAATGACGGAACAACACATAAAGAAAACATTGCATGGTGTCAAACTAGAAAGGGCGGAGGAGAACATCAATTCACGGATGCCGCGAACAAAATCACAGGTTTGTTGTTGTGTGACCTAGTCCTGGCATGATGAATATCAACTCTGCCAAAACCCAAAAAAATGAGGTCAAGAAAGTCCACGGTGACGCGAATAGAGAGAGGGGGGGCTCAAAAGAAAGGGTTCCCATTCTGGACCGGTGCTCATACATTGCCTTTGAAAGGGGGCAAAATGGGACAAACAAGAAAGCATCCAATCCATTGGGATCCTAACCACAAATGAGGTAATAGTGTGTTTGACAGGAAGCCAATAGGAAAGTATGGCCATTGGAGAAAGGTCTGCTCATTTTGGCACGCGCTCATGCGGGCGTCTCCTCAAATTTGGTATGTTGGACGCCCGTGTCTTCCTTGAACACAGAATCCCCTACCTGCTCAAGTTCGAAGCATCCCCAACCCCCCCCCCAAACAAAAAAGCCATGCATTCCTTGCAGGTGAATCAGCACAGCCGCATGTGGCCCTTTGGCCCTGATTGGCAAGACTTCCATAGACTTCCCCCTTCATCACCCCACTGCAAGGCCCATTACAACCACGGAAAGGATTTCAGTGAAGAAAAGCCGCGGCTTTGCTCTGGTTGTCCAACTTACCCAATTCAAGGGTCCATATCCATAACCCAAAGCAGGCCGTTGAAGCATGTTGCAACCACGATTCTTTGACCAATTGAAGCGGAGGCGGATCACGCCTCGGCCGTCAGGAAGACGTGGCGGTGCCCGGCCGGCAAGCCATTGAGGACCAGACCTGGGCATTAAGCACCTCAAAACATCTTACGGTGCCAACAGCCAGTGCATCTGGGTGATCAAAAGGTCCTTTGCATAGGATGACCATTGGGGGAAACCACTGAAAAAATGATATGTCAACCACTGAATGGAAAAAGTTACCCATGGTCATTTGGGAGCCAGCAATGTTGATCAACCCCCTATACTCACTTGCCCAGCGGACCTGGGAATAAAAGGTGATCGCCGTTTGGAACCTAACTATGGCAGGGAAACCAAAAGGTTAAAATTGGTTGGCTTTGGACAAGTGCATATACGCCGGTTGCGTTAAGGATCTTAAGTGCCCACTGTGGCTTCGATCTGTGGATTCGCTTACAAATGGCGGGGGGTTCAAGGGGGAGCGACTTGTCATCGTAGGTATTAGTTTGGAAAACTAGATGGTACTGGCAAATGAGTTGAACCAAACCGACACAATAAAGTACACCCTATGCTTGTCATGGAGCCCAAACCACAAAACCTTGTGGCTGTGGATCTGAATTTTCACCAAGAGATGGGGCCAGAAAAATGAGGCGAAAAACCTCATGGCACTTCCCATAACATAAAGTGAAAGCATTCCCTTGGCCATGACCCCACAGCTTTTGACCCCCAAGCGTGTTGTCTCAATCGGATTCCAAGCTTGGAAGCCCAAAAGTCAAAAAAAAGATCGCGGGCGAGCAACACATCTCCCGACCTTAAAACCGGAACGCAAGCCCAGGGCTTCGCGATATATTGGTGCGAAATCTGTGTGAAACGAACGCATGTGGACATTCTCACAGGAGGCCCGCTAAAAGACGCGTCCGTCTTTAAAAAAAGAAGAGCACGGCCAGCCCAGCGGCAGACCGGATTGAAACGCCGGGCTAACAACACTGAAGGCCATCTTTGGTGTTCTCCTTCCCTACTTTGAAATGGATGGCATTCATTTTGACTTCCCTGTAAAACCAACCTGCAAAGGGTCCCCCAGGTAGCTGTGGGCAACAACTACAAACGATGTCTGTGTCAGGCGCCGCCTTGCTGTGAACATCCGGGAAAACGCAAACAGCTCAGCATGCCAAACTGGATTCAGCCTTCTCTGCTCACCGGACAGGGTACGCAGCAGAAATCAGCTGGACACCAGACCTGTCCGGTTTCACTCCCATTGGTTCCTCATCTTTGTCAGGTATTGGGGGTCCAAAAGGACAGTTGACCAATTGGGAAGACGCTTGGAATCCTGCCCCAGGGAGTGCAACATGGCGAAAACGAAACACAAAAATGGGAGACCCACCGATGTCTTCGTGCATTATCTAAGTTTGATTGAAGCATAAGGTTGATTTAAAGAAACTTACTCCAAAAACAATGGATATCAAAAGACTTTGATTGCACCCTAAAGATCTCTGCGCCGGGCATGGCAGGCTCTCTTCAGAGGACGTCATCAGCCAGTCGTGGTGGTGCTTCACCTTCAGGCAATGTCATCTCCGGAGCTGAGAACCAGGTCGGGGGCTATATAAACAAAAGGCATTGTTCCGCAAAGTCTACCAGAAATCCAAAACCTGCAACAAAGAAAGTAAAGGACCTACATGGTGAGCTCGTTTTACCCTCAGATCGGTGAGCTCGCCATGTTGGTTTTTTTAAAGTCAACTTGGCGGCGGATTAAGAGACGGATGTTTCCTCAAGTGAAGGCAGACTGAAAGTCAGGGTTGCGCCCATTCGACCATTTCATCCCTGGAAGTGGAAAACAAGGGACCTAAGACAGTTGTTCCACCCTTCTGGGTTGATCATCAGAGGACCTAAGACATTTCTTTCCACCTTGTGGTTTGATCATGAGAAGACCCAAAACATGTCGTTCCACCCTTGTGGTGTGATCATCTTTTGAAGGCAGGTCACCCTCTGTCTGGGAGCGAACCCTTGGTTGCTGTCTAGAGGCGATCGGAGAACCCCCGCCAAACCAAGGCGTGTGTCTCCATGCGCAAAAACCAAAGAAAGTGATTTCTCAAAAGGAGATGAGGTTGACCAAGTGTTGGTGTGCGTGTGTCTGGTTGTGAGAGTAACAAGCTTGAGTTGGCGAAAGGAAAACCACAAGATGTCCGCCCCCAAAAAGGTTCCATATCCAATTGGGGACAAACCCATGTGCGTCTTTGGGATTCCTTTCTCATTTTCCGGAGACAGGCAATGAGCTCAACAGAACTTGGTGGATTGGATACGCTGCCCCCCCCAAAAGAGATCAAAAACTAGGTCGACGTTCAATCCTAAGCCCAGCATTTCGTTGCTTGTACTACTGTCTTCTTAGCAAATGGTCAAACAATGAGACGTTACCAAACGTTAACCCGCTGCAAAGAATAAGTTTCAGCAGAGGTTTCAGGGTTCTGGCAATTCCACTGAGTCTGCCTTCCCAAACACAAAAACTGGACCGCCAGATTCTTGGGTGACGACCTCTCGAAACGTCATCCCAATCACTGAGTTCAGACCAAGGCCCCGAGCCGTGCCGGTGGAGTCCCAAAGCGTGGCCTCAAACGCAGTCAGGACCCCCTCCCCCCCCCCACCCTTTCCAGCCCCAAAGCTATCCCTGCACGCGCCCTCGGGCAATTTTCTATGCAGAGGGCTAGTTGAATAGTTCTTTGCCCCCTTCTAGAACAATTTGGTTGGCGTTAGGAAACAGGCCCGGCACCAGTGGCCCAGGGCCATTGAAAACACGTCTAAGTCACGGTGGGCCTTGTGGGCGTCCGAAATCCACGGTTTCGATTGGTCGAAGGGTGAAAGACATGTGGATTTGTCAATGTGGATGGATTTGCTCTCCTTTCCAGGTTCGTCCTTGCGGGCAACCCAAAGGAGAATCTAAAAATATGAAAAACGAATCCACGGCCTCCAAGAAACTCTCGCCCCTTGGGAGCCCGGGCCAGCGAGTCCCCGGGGTGTGCCGGGAGCTCCTTGCCCACTGGGATGATCTGCGAGGCAAATGCCGCGCGCGCGAAGAGAACCCTCGGGGAATGATCAGTGACCGGAGGCAAAGTGCGGAATCCACCAAAGAAAAAAGGGAGACCGGGGGATCCAACAATTGACCTTGCAACTATAGGTGGGGAAACACACCGGTGACCTTCTGCAGCCGCGAATAGGCCAAACCTGAAAACCCTTGAGTCGCACAGGTCAGCTTCTTTGGGCCAGTGACGGAAGCAAACAAGCGGGATGCATTCGAGTGGTCCACATGAAAATCGGGAGACCTTCATGATCAGGTTGGCACGTCGAAGAAAAGGGGAAGCGCGAAACAAACGCCCTGAGGCGCTCACGCCATTCCTTGGCAGCGGCCAACCGCTATACGGCACATTCGGCAAGCAGCTTGAGCGTTCAAGCAGCTGGATTTTGGCCCCCTTTGATCACGTTCACTGGTGACAATGGTACCCAGCTGCGCCAGGGCCATGAAACATATTGGGTGTTCCGATCAGGGACACCTCCAGGACATGATACGAACAAGCGACACCAAGAGGGTGTCCAGGCACCTCAAGAGACTCCACCAACTCGGGGATCCAATTCTGAAAAAAGATCCAAGAGATCCAACCAGTGCAACCCCTCTCCTGAAAAACCGATCCCCGAAAAGCCCAACTCGTAGCTCCGTCCCCCTCGCGGACTCGAAGCGCTCGGCCTCCCGGGGGATGAAGGACCTGCTGGTGGCCAACTTCACCGCTTGGTGCCCGATGGCGTAGCAGGCCTCGCAGGAGACTCACGAGACTCACTCCACGAGTCATAGGAGCCAGCTGTTCTACCACAAGGTCAGCTTGTACCCTGTCCAATGGAAAATCTGCGCTGATAGAATGAAGCTGTCTTGTGCTTTGTACTCATGTTGAATTTGCAAAACATCGGATTTCGGCCATTTGGACTAGCTTGTCTTTGGACAGACCTGCACGGAAAAACGGCCCGAAAGACTCGGCCACGCGAGTGGATCTGCAGAAAAAAAGGGAGGCTTTTGGCTGGTGCAAGAACATGAAGGAAAACCAAAAAGGCTAAAGTTGAAAAGGTAAGACAACCGGCTAAGAGACCAAACAAACTCCTACACTTCTGGGTGAAAAAGAGCTCGCCTTTCATTTGGCCACCAAAAAGTGATGCTTAAACCAAGAAGTAGAAGGTGTTTCGCGTTCGGACCCCTGTCAAAGGCATTCGGGGCTGGGGATGGGCAGTCCTTTGGTTCGTGGCTTTTCCCCTTGGGGTGGGAACAAATGTGGCGCATGTCCACTCCACCAGTGCCATGGACAATTGAAGACTGTTTTGCGGCACAAAACCTCAAAATACGACCCTCGTGAAGGTTGAACAATCTGATTCTGGCGCTACAAGAATCTTGGGAAACACCCTCCAGCACCTAGTTGTGAGCCAACACTGAGGACCCCAGTCATGTTACTTTGCAGGGGTGCAGACTCTTGGACCAATTTAGAGCGGCCTCAGACTTGCACGTTTACGAAGGGCGGGGGCACCCACTGGAAGTCCATTTATGGCTCCATTTCCCCTGCAGACAAAGATCGAATCGGGACCTTAACCCCCTACTGCACATCAAGTGATTGTCATAAGCCCGCTTTCCACTCTGCTCTGGGCCAGCCACCCAGTCCACCGTCTGTGGGAACTGCTCCTCTGAGATCTGGTTCAACCTCAACAGCTCGGACAGTCGGCCTGTCATTTTTGGGATCCTTGGAACCCTCCAACTTGCTCTTACTCTTGCCTGGTTTGACCCCTCGTCTGACCACAAACTCCCGTTCCCGCTACTCTGGCCTCGTTGGTTTCGCCTATTAAAAAAAAAGGCCACTGAAGCCTCACGTTTCTTGCCCGCAAAACGTTCAAGGTGCGGACAGGTGCCGTGTCACGGACAGCAGCATGTGGGAGACCAGGTCTGGCTTCTCACCTGAGAACCAAGGCAAAAACGGTGGATAGCGGAAACACATGGGCCATGTCTTGTTTTGAGGCCTACCCTTTTTATGGCAGGCTTGAAAGGGAAAGCAAAAGGACAGCCACCTTTTCTTTTGGGGGGGGTGTCTATTTTGAGACACCACATTTCCCCGTTGAAAGGTGTCTAAGGTCATTTTGGTCCAACCAAAGAGGGAGGCCCTGCAAAAGCACAAGCAGAAATCAGCGCAGACCTAAGCTCTGTGGGTTGGATTTCCTTGCTGGCAAACGCGCGCTTGAATCCCTGGAATCCCTGGATGTCAAAGGTCAAGCCTTTGGGGCCCTCGCTACTGACTTGGTTGCTGATCCCTCCGCAAAAAGTTTAGCTTTTTGTGGGTTTCGTGGAAACCCCCCTTGATTTCCCAAAAACTTAAAGTCTAAAGATCCTACCCAATAGCAGTCAGGCTGACAGGGCAGATTGGAGCCGAAAGCCAAGGCCAGGTGCCCCGGCTGTGATACTCCAAATGCTCCTGGCCCGACACGCGGAGGCCTGGCGCAAGCGGTGGATGGAACGCAGCAGCTGCTCATTTTTTTGCCTGAACACGTCGTGGTTTCCTCCCGTTAGGTAAAAAGAGGTAGAAGTTTGGGGAAAAATGGAAGACAAATTGAGAGGAATCTATTGGGGACCTGCTTTTGAGTTCCATATCAATTCTGCAGAGTTCTTTGTTCCCCAGTCCCGAAAGCAAATTCAAACACCATGCCCCTTCTCTGGATGGAACAGATTGCACCAACTGAGTTGGGATGGATGAAGCCCTCTGAGTACCGGATTCCGGATAACACTCCCAGCAACTGCAGTTCGTCCATCAGTATCTCGCAGAGTCTTTCAAAAGTGCCAAGCTTGTGGACAAGGCTTGGGCTCCCCAGACCTTTTCTGCACGTAAATTGGAAGTTCACTTCACGCTCGTAACCGAATGTTTGGGCAGAAAAAGGTGAGTTCCAAAGAGACCACACCAAAAAGAAAGGTAGGGGCATGTGTCCAACTAGGATCCCAAAAATGGCCGCTTTCCTTTGAGCCTTCCTTTAAACAATCCTGAAAAGCATAAGCCTCAGAAAAGTTCGACCCATAGGGACCATGTTATGCGCCCGCCTTCGAGGCAAGCAGGAACTCATCAGGGGCCAGTTGATTGCCAGGGCAGCTGCTAGGGATGTCAGAATTAGACGAAAAAATCAGGCAAGCAATAGGACATCTACAGGGTGCAGGACATGTGTGAAACCGGTTGGATAGCATGTTTCGGTGGCTTCCCGTACCTGCCATCTGACAAAGGGGCCCCTTTTGGGCAGGTACCCTGGTGCCAAATAAAAAGTGGGAAGAGTGGTTTCCAACAAAACCACTCGGCCCTTGTGGCTCCGCTTCCCGTGCCCCGTTTTCCCGGCCGGCCTCTTTTGCCAATCTCCTCGTTGGCCAGCTTTCCTGTAACCTCAGACAGGGAAGCTCCAAAGACCAAAAACATGTCGGCAAAAGGAGAACAAAGGGACCGACAATTTTTCTACCCTCGTGGGTTGGTCATTTTTTCGAGGTTCGGAGCAACCCGACTATGACCCCATCCACGTGGTTTTCTTCTGGTCGCTTCGAACATCATCACCAACCCCCCCCCCCCCCGCCCGCGGCAAAAACCGGGGGGAAGTCGGAAGTCGCCTGCCGGCTCGAAACGCGTTCAAACCGACTTGGGGGTCCCCGGCGTGCACCAAGCCGATGGTCCGCTGCATGGACGCCTCGGAAAAAAGAATCGGGCGGTCGGCCTTCGGAAAACCTGCGCACCGCGGTTTGTTGTTGTTTGTGTTTTTGGTGACAAAAAATTGAAGATGGGTTGCGAAGATGGCACAAGTGCCATGATTGATGTGCCAAGAAAACCCTCCCGCGGCCAAGTCGTTAGGAGGAGAAGCATACTTGTCTTTCATGCAAAAGGCGGTACCTGTTGCTTTCTGAATACATGGACATGGCCTTCCTGCAACTCTTCTCTGACTTCGAAGACATTGAAGCGAAACCAAAAGCTACAGTACACCACAAAATGCCATTGGTTTCCCAGTGTTGAAAAGAAGCCAAGCAAATCCATCTGCAATACATATAAATGATAAATCCAACAGCTGCATGCGCTGTGCATGAAGGAGTCTTCATCATGGAATGGGCTACGGTGTTCGTCAAGTGAGTTCGGGGTAAGACATATGAAACTGTCCCCGGCGCGCCCGCCACCACCTTTCCGGCGGGGGTGCACCTCACAAGCTCCGGCACCGGTAAATGATCAAGCTGAACCCGATGTATCAACCAAAAATAGCCTCTAAAGGACACCTATGCTCCTCAGGAACAACCAATTCTGGGATTGGCGTGTTGAGTGTAGCAGCTTGAGTTTAGGGTCGTCCCTTTCGCCCGGCCGAACCATCTTCCGGCCGAAGCCGGCCGCGCCTTCACCTGCGACAGCACCTCTTGGATCTCCTCGGGCCTCGGATTCTCATCCCACCAGGGGAAGTAGTCTGTTTACCCTTCTCAGGAGTCTTTACCCGGTGGTTGTATGCCCCAAACGGTTTTTCCCAAGTCGCGTTCTCTCGTATGATTCGTCGTGACGTCGTGGGACACTAGCAACAACTGCTAGAGGGCATGAGGACGAACTGAGGCTTGATGTTGGCGGCATGCCCCTTCCAGTGAACATCCCAATCCCCCCAAAAAAAGACTAGAATGGGTGGTGCACTACCCCAAAATGGTACCATTGGTTTTGACCCACAGCCATATTTGAGCCCCTATCTCGTTCCAATATGCACGTGTGTTCTCTTACGGACATACACGCAACACCGCACGCACATGAAAACAAAACATGCATGCGTGAAGGCAAGTGCTTCCAGGGGTAACCTTTTTGGGTGAGTCTCGTATGGTTTGCCGTGGTTTTGAACATCGATCTCAGGCCAAAGACTAAACTCAACAGCGGTATGCCGGCGAAGAACGGACAAGGAAGACCAACGTACGTGTGTGTATATGAGGGCTACATGTTTGGAACCCTTCCAGCCACTGAGTAGGCAAAGGGAAGCGAACGGCACATGTAGCTTTGCAAAATCTGGATTCAACTCCCCAAATGCTTGGCTTCCTCTTGCTAACTTCAAATCCAACCAAAACTGGATTTCACCCAAGGAAAACATACCCATGTCACACCAGTGGTTAACAATGGCCACCAGGGACTCCCAAGTTCCAGTTGTGCCCAATGGGAAAACCGCCGCTTTAGTTCCGCGTGTGAAGAAACGAACAGAAGCCAGGTGACCGAATGCGTGCCACCGAGCATCCTTTCATGTTAAGCCCACCAAATAGCTACAACATGATATAGCCAAGCCTGTGGTGCATGCAATCCACGCCGACCCGTTGATTGGAAATGGACCGATCCTAAACCCTAAACCTGAAAATTGGAAGCACAAGTAAGAAGGGGTTCTGTGTCACTGGACAACTTGGTGAAGTTGGAAACATGTGAAACCAACACAGGTCACCAAAGGGTCGACCACAGTCAAACGCCCGGATAAAAGAAAAGTTGCATTTTTTGAACAAATCCAGTGAGACCTCTGCGAAATGTACAGTACCAAACTCGGAAATCGAGGATCCCCAAGTGACCTTCGGGAGATAGCAACTTCAGTTCGGGGCTTAGCTTTGGACGGGCAACAAGGGCTGCGCTTTGCATAGGCTTTCCAAAGAAAACCCAAAGGAAAAACTGCAACATGGCATGATTGACACTTCTCGTTGCCCACCCTCCAGCTTCCTCCCGCGCTTTGGGGCCCAGCAGGTGTCGCCACCACCTGACACGCGAGGAGCCCCACTATCCGCAGCTCAGGGAAGGAAACACATCCCAAGTGTTGACTCTGAGGTAAACCACTTGAATGGGTGGCGCGCCTTTGGTTTCCCTTTTTCAAAAGCCCGAGGGCCTGACCTAAGGGGGCCTCAAAAAATGACAGTCGCCATGCGCCAGGCTCAACATTAGCGACATCTGTCCAAGGCACGGGTGGATGTAGTGCCGAATCTCTCCCGCAGCCATGTAGAAGGCAGTCAGCAGCCTCAGCCGAGTCCGACTGATCGTTCGACTCAGAAGTTTGGCCCAAGTGAGCCGTAATCAAAACATAGCATTAACATCGTCTACCCAAAGGCATGTGTGGCCACACCAAATTCTAGCTGGGGCCTTCCCCAAGTTGGTGTGTGGCAAAGTAGGGGGACAACAAATTGTGGTCCTGGAAACGGAGCCCTCAAAAACGCAAACACACACACACACACTCTGTGTGTGCACACCCACCCAACCCACCAACCCACCCACCCGCCCAAGTGCGCCCCACGCGTGCTCCCAGTCACCCACGCAGGCCAAAAAAGAGAAACAAGCAAACAAGCCAAAGAAAAGCGTGGCTGTGGGACAAAGAAAACACCCGTTTCTTGATTGTGCGGAAGGTACCTCGATGCAAGGGAAGCGGACAAGTGGAGTGCCTTTTCAATGGTGGCCTTCCCAGCCCGCCCCAGTTCTCCACGTCTATGTTGGAAAGGTAACGATGCTGCTGTTCAACACCAACTCATGCTCTGGAAAAGGAAGGACCTGAAAGCAACTTGGCAATGGCGAAGCCTGGGTTACAAGCAAAACTCAGCCCCGGCAAGTACCTACAGTGAAAAGCACTCCCTGTCAATCAGCTTGCCCTTTATCGGTGGGTTGGATGGTGGTTTGGGAGTTGAACCCCACTCCCGCTTGAAATTGTCCCAAACATGGCACACAGGCTGTTGACCATTTGCTTTCTGGTGGAATTAAACGTCAAGGGTGGGTTTGTTGCTTGGTTTCTGAGGCACCCCAAATGAAGCAAGCAAAGTACTCAATCATACAAAATCTGGAGACCTCGCCTAAAGCGTTCAGCCCCGGGCGTGCTGATGCGCTTATCAGCCTCCGCCTTTTGCTTCCTCATGGCGCGGATGTCGCACACATAGGTCTCACAAAAAATACGTCCGTCATGCCCTGATGGCTCCGCTTTGGAACACTGACACAAGCAGCTATTCAGCACAAGGGGATCGCGGCTCGATTGACCAGCCGAAAAACCGGTCGGCGGACTTGGAGACTTGGAGGCAGAGTCCAATCACCCCGTCCTCATCTGGACCACCCGGTGATACTCTGAGTGTCTCCGCCAATTCCTTTGAATCCTCGGCGCGCGCACGAATCGCTGACTTTTCTTTTCTTCTGCAGATCTGAGGTGGCTTTTTTTTGCAAGCCAAGAAGAAGCATCCTTACATGGGTTTGTCTCCACCTTCTAAAAGGAGTTTGTGCAGTTTGTGTTCTACCTTTTTGGAGGAAAGGCATACATTCAAAAGGACTTTGGGGGAGAAAGCCTCCTTTTCATTTTCAAGGGACATCAACAGAGGGTAAGCTCATACTGGGGATTCGCTTCCTCACTTTCAACCATATGTGAAATATGTATTTCCAGGATCCAATATCCAGGATCCAATCCTATGTTGGCTTTCAAGCTTGGTTCCACCCGAACTCCTAGATCCTAAAGCTACCCTAAACCCACCCCAACTCCAAATCCACTGATACCCAACATCCCTCGTGAGCATGATTTGTTCAACATATTTTTCCCATTTGGACAAACGGAAACATATTTTTACCCAGAAACGTGTCTGTTCAAACGAATCCATGTCACCCACGCGCCACCTCCCTCCCTACCGGTGCGACGCCCGCGGTTCCCACGCTCGGTGCTCAAACTGCTAGCTAAGTCCCTCCCCCTCCGAAAATCCCACCGAAAACATCCCACCGCTCCCCGGGGTTCCGGGCAGCACTGCGGCGGAGCCCTCCAGCTTGGACCGGATCAGCTCCAGGAACCGCTGCCTGGAAAAAAACTGCCCTTTTGGAAAAGGAACTGCTCTGCATTTGTTCGGAACCCAAAAAGTGTGTTTCAAAAAGTGATTCCTGGAAAAGCGATCTGCAATGGTTCTGTCTCAAAATGGCATGAACCTCCATTGGGACTACTCCAACGGAAACAGGAAACGGTTGCCACCTGGTTCCTCTTTTTGGGACACCAAACGGCGCATGTACTCCATGCCCACTCTGCACTCCGGTAAGCAACCCGGTAAAATGTGGGCCCTTTGGCCCGGTGACCCTGGAGTCCCAAAAGGCACACTCACCACGACCCGATGTGACCTCAATGGTGGGCTCCCGCCTCACAGTCTCCATCTTGTCGTAGAGGACCACCTTGACGTCCAGCCTCGTCAGCACGGAGTCGAAAGGCTTCCATTTTTTGGAGTGGGATGCAAAACGATTCCATGGCTTGCGTCAACTTGAGACAGTGGAATGTGTCGTAAGTGTAGTTCACACTCAGGTCTCCTGTGGGCTTCTTATTCGAAGGGTCATGGTATGTCACTCCCCTAACATGGCTACGCACTCCTCAGGGCCCAAAGTTGGACCCCCCGTCCGCCGATTTTGCAGATGCTGGGGCCGCTGCTGCGACTGGAAGCGGCGCCAATTCCTCTGCAGGATGACGGCCTTGGCACGCGGAGGTTTTGGAGTTCTGCCACAACCTAGCTGCCCACTTCTTCCAAAACGAACTGATGGAGCGATCACCATCCCTAGTGGGTTTGGTTGGCATCTTCCATGCCGAGTCAAAAAAAGGTCTTGCACCATCCAAAGCCCACTTGTCCTTGTTTAGGGAGGGACAATGTTCAACCATCAGAAAGCACCCCCACCTTCTTGGAAAGTACACACCATTGTCTGAAGAACACCACCTTCCTGCAAAAACCAACCATCCTTCCCCCCCCCCCCCGGCACACTTCTCTCTTGGCTTCCCCACCGACTTGAGGCGCTTTGCCGTGAGCTTCCGCGCCTACAAAAAGGCCCTTGGCCTTTAGGATGGAAAATCGATGGGTTTGGCCAACCCCCACCTTGATCCCTTGGTTGGAACCCGATCGCAATATCCTGTTTGTTCCAAAAATCCTCCAATCACCCAATCCCAACTCCCCACAACAGAAAATGCGCCATTGTTGGGCTTGCTGAGGTTGAAGGAAAAGGTGCCCAAGAAAGAGGCCCCAAAAACACTAAAAGGCTGGACGTGTCCACGGCGCAAGCGCCAAGTGCCAATTGTGCAAAGTTGGGGGGCTCAACGAACGAAAAACTGCGAAACCCGGGCGCCTGGTAGCCTCGCCAGTGTGCTTGCACCTGGAAGCGAACAAGCTGTCAGAGCAGGCCAGGCTGCGGGGCGCTAGGGAGAAATGCAAGTTCATTTCAACATGTGCATATTATTTTTTTGCGTGTTGCTGTTCTCCTACTAAAAAACGCACACAGACACACACTTCAACTCCCGAGGGAGAGATCTCATCTTGCGAGTACAACCGGTGAGTCTCGAGTGGGTGGGTTTTCGAGCGGCGAGACCATCAGCTTCCCTCTAATGTCGAAAACGATACAAGGTCCAACATGAAGCACACACAGCAAGAGAAACCAAGGGCCAAATGGACTTTGCAACACAGATCAGCAGGTACACGGATTGGCGTCCCAATCCGCTTCACGGAGGTTCCACAGCCGTCTTCGTTGGCAGTAGGACTGTGGTTTCCCTACTGCCCCCTGCAAAGGTGAAACAAGTGGTGACAGGGTAATTCTGTCACTCCGCGCACACACACACACACACAATCTTATGTTCCATGCCTTGATAAGTTGGATCGCGTGAAAGGCCGAGGGCCAAAAGGGACCGTGCGTCCCAGAGCAAATCCAGTAGATTCCGGGAAAAATGATCGCCCTTGGCTCCTACTTAGACCACTTTAGACGAAGAGTCTTCAAAGAAACGAGATGCTGACCAACGCATCAGATCAGGATTAAGCCAGGGAAAATGTCGCTGGTGTAATCACCTCCGCCTCTTTTGTGCGAAGTGCAGAATACTTGGGTGGTGCGTGTGGGGGAAAGAGGCGCGGACGATCCAGCTGGAGGGCAAGAATAACAAGAGAAGCCAGATGTAAAGTCCGAAATTTCAGAGCCGGGGCCGCTGTGATCTGTTTCCTTTTTTGGTACTTAAAAACGGCGGCCTCATGTTGGGGTCCGAAGAACGGACTGCGTTTCGGGGTCCATTTTTGGAGCCTGTGTTCACTGTTCAGAGACTTGTTGGGAGCCAAAAAACCATGGGGTGGGAAAGGCCAGCCACATGAGATTTGGGTAAGGACCGTCCCAAATTGACCTGTCCCAGAGGGGCAACAAGACTTCACTTGAAGTGTGGCATAGGAAGGGTCATCATCAAAAACATGGACGTCAAATGCAATTGAAAGCACCGAGTGCTCAGAACGGAAAAGGCAGAGTCCCCTAGTTGAGAATTAGTCATTCAAAGCTTCGGCATCTCAACACAAGACATATATCACAGAAGCGATATATAAAAAGCAACTCACACTTTTTTCGAACGGAAACGGCGCGACCTCAGTTGCACACCACGTCGCAACAGCTGCCCCTCCAATGTTCCCCCAATGCAAACATATGTCACAGGTAAAGAGTAAGCATGTTTACGAGCAAAGCACCAGTGGGGTCTTGTGGTTTATCCCATGATGAGTGAAACTAGGAGTTCCCCGAATGGTTACTTTCGCGTTCAAATGATACTCGCAAAAATCACAAACAAACAAACAAACAAACAAACAAACACACAAACACACAAAACACACAAACACACAAACAACAAACAAACAAACAAACAAACAAACAAACAAACAAACAAACAAACAAACAAACAAACAAGCAAACAAGCAACCAAACAAACAAGCAAACAAGCAAACAAGCAAACAAGCAAGCAAGCAAGCAAACAAACAAACAAACAAACAATCAATCAAACAAACAAACAATCAATCAATCAATCAATCAATGAATCAATCAATCAATCAATCAATCAATCAATCAATCAATCAATCAATCAATCAATCAATCAATCAATCAATCAATCAATCAATCAATCAATCAATCAAACAAACAAACAAAACCAAACAAACAAACAAACAAACAAACAAACAAACAAACAAAACAAACAAACAATCAATCAATCAAACAAACAAGCAAACAAACAAACAAGCAAACAACAAACAAACAAACAAACAAACAAACAAACAAACAAACAAACAAACAAACAAACAAACAGACAGACAGACAGACAGACAGACAGACAGACAGACAGACAGACAGACAGACAGACAGACAGACACACACAGACACACACACACACACAGACACGCAAAGACACACACAGACACACACAGACACAAACCCACACACACACACACTTGCATGAGTCGGTGTGAATGGGGAGGCATCACCAAAAGCGACCGCAAGCACAAAAGCGAAAGCAGACGGAGTTTCGTCCCACATCAAGAAGACCAACAGCCACCAGAACAGAGACAAAAACACACAATGCTCCAAGCTGCGCACAGCAGACATGGCAACTTCACAAGGAGATGCTCTGCCGGGTTTCCTCAGCCCAAGCCCGACAGAGTGGCGGACTCCACACGCGCACACACACAAGCACACCCACACCTACACGCACACCCACACCCACACCCACACGCACACGCACGCACGCAAGCATGCCCCAGCGTCCGGCGAGAAACTTCGGGGCCCGGCGTAGGAAGCCGCCCAGTTCTGGGTCCGGATCTGCTCCCGCAAGGCCACGCCCCGCGTCATGGCTGGCGGGAGAGATATTTTGGGTCGCTTGGCGCGACCAATAAGCTCATTCCATCTGAGCTGCAACCAATCTGGGTGATCCATGGGTCCCAAGAAGTGGGTTCCTTTTGGATGCGACACGCAGGATTGTCCCCTAGAACCCGTTTAGCGTAGTGAGTTTTCACACTCCCAAGCAAACAAACAAACAAACAGGCAACCATGCATCTTGCTTTGGCTGGCCACCTTGGATCTTGGATTGGTGGCTTTTAGGCTGTTGGATCTGGGTCTGCGGATTTCGGGCTGGGTTCAGGTTGGATGGGAATGCGCATCGAAAGTTGAATCCTCCAACTAGGTTTCATGGCACTGCACCTTTCAGGGGAGCTTAGTCGCTCGCAAGCCAATTGCCCTGTCGCTTCTTTTTGCTTGCTCTCATGAAACTGCAAATTTCCAACTTGCTTGATGGCAGCTTTTCCCAAAGGAGTGTGGTTTCGTTTGGGGGTGAATGGAACTGACAAAAAAACACGTGGCGCAACTTGCCAGCTACCGCGTTGAGTCATTGGGCTTCCATTGGTCCATGTCCACCTCTGCATAGTTGTGCCTTGCCAGTGCTCCCCCATCACAAACTCTTCTCAAGTCATTTCAATTGCGTAGGAACCCCTGTTGGGACCCAGTGACGTGCTTTGTCGCCTAAGGGCCCCCAGCAAGCTGCCAACTTCGGGAAGAAACCCGAGCAACAAACGGGGTGACCTCGGGTCCACGGAGCGATGCACCTCTCGCACCCGCGCCTTGGATCTTGCCAGCAGCCTGTGGACTGACATGTCACGAGGGACAATAGACATGGCCTGCCTCAGCGAGGAATCATTTACGCTTTTTGGGTGTGATGTGTTTGGGTTGAAAAAGGAACCGTGACATTCTTAGGCCTGGCCAGTGGATTGGACTTGGTTTCCCTCGTGCTCTTTCGCCAAGCTTTCGGCGAGGCTTTCGTGCCGGCGTGTTTTCCTTTTGCTGGGGGGCTTGCCTTGCATCAACCCTTTTGCGGCTCTTTCGCAGCAACTCATTGAAATTAGCAGACCTCTCATATTATGAAAGGTCTGAAAGAATTTCAGATCGCACATGAGAACTCCTCAGAGAAGTCATGGTAGCATCTCTCTCTTTCTCTCTCTTTCTCTCTCCCGCTCTCTCTGTGTGTCTCTCTCTCTCTCTACCTCTCTCTCTCTCTCTCTCTATCTCTCTCTCTCCGCCAGTTCCCTCAAGAGACAAAGCTTCTTTGGAACAAACAGCCACACCAACAAATGACGAGCAAAGTGAAATAAAGGCCATGTCAGCATGTTACAATGCTTCATCATGTGTTGTCCTTTTTCTGCTTGGCTGGCATGTTCTACACAACGTAGATCAACCGCACACAGCTGCGATGTACCTGCTTGGAGACCAGAAGTAACCACAACACAACGCACAAGCAGAGGCCCCAAGCAAGTCACGTGGCTGAACAACGGTGTTCAAGCGTCTTCCCAGGAGTCCAAACACTATGGACATCGAGTGCCTGAAAAGGAAAGCTAACTCTTCGTTCACAACGAGAGTCTGCGGGCTACACCATGGATTTTGACAGAGAATCCCCCCTCACACTGCAGGCCCGAATCCAAACGTGCGAGTCATGGGTGGTTACATACATATCAAAAAAAAATGTGGTCCCAACCCAACCCAAAGGTTTTTCCGAAAACCGAATCCAAACATGGCATCCAGTCTGCGCCTCCCTCATCTCTTTCATCGGCCGCCGCCCGTAGAGGCGGCCGCGGTAGTTGCGCTGGATCGTCCTCGGCCGGGCCGAGGGGCAGCAAAATTAGGAACCAAAAAGATGGCTTGGTGACCCTTTGACTCGCCTCCTGAGCGGATTGGCCGAAAGAAGTGCGAAGTTTTGATTTACCACTGAAATGGTCTTCCCAAAAAGTGTAAAGTCCAGGAACCCAAGGAGTGAGTGAACCACCCCGAAGAGGAACCGCAGCTGTGTGTCAAAACTTTTGGCTTCCCTTTAAATTTAAATCAATGAACAGGTACTCGCCTCATAAAAAAGGCACACCCATTTCGCAAATTCGCACCCGCTGCGCCGAGTTTCCAGGACCTCCAGTACCCCAAAAAAACTCTCAGCTTCAAACCGCAACATGGTGGCTATCCCTCCTCCCCCCCTAAAGCCCCATCCCCAAGCCAAGCCCCTCCCCAAGCCGCCCGGCAGGCCAGCTTTAATGATGACCTGGTGCCGACGCCTGAGCCATAGGCGACGCAACTCTTATTCCCAGGCCTTTTTGGTCGCCTTTAAGGCAGCCAAACGTTTGTTTGGGGCCTCCGATGTTAGAGACAAAACCGGCAAGGAAGGCAATTGCAAGGACCGGGAAACCAAAGGGCAACCATTTGTTGCCAAGACAAAGCAGGGTTCGTGGGATTTAATTTTAATACCTTTTGGGAGATTTTGGTGGAGTGTCCATTTGGAAGGTTCAAGCAGAACATCAAAGAAACCCTGCTAAAAGAAGACCAACAAAAAGGAAAGCCGACGACTCAGGACGAATCTGGGCGATGCCACTTTGAAGGCTCCCGTTCTTGGCAAGCAGGGGCATTGGCACAGCGGGCACGTCCGGTTCAGGTTTCAAACATGAACTCTTCGTGGCAGCTTTGAGTCTGCTCTTGAACCAGGTCGCCTGCTTGCCGCGGGAAAGGATGGAGGATGGATCGTAAACAAACCGAACAAGCCATCTCGAAGATGTACTTCCGCTGCCGATAAATTGGCTCTTCCCGGACTGCATAGACCACCAGCAATTTGTGAGCGAGCATATGAGACCGGAGCGAGCCTACGAGACCGGGCCCCTTCACCCGCACCCCCGCTCCTTCACCCCTGCCTAGTGAGGGTCCCCTTCCACTTCGCCTGGAAGCGGGTGATGTCCCGCATCCTGGGGCACCAGGGTTGGGCAAAACTTGAACCGGCGCCTGGTCGCCTGGGATAAACAGAAGGAAAGCGAGTTCGGCAAGAGATGTTGAGACATGTTGAAACAAGGGGCCGCAAAGGCCCCACAGCGGCCCTTTGCGGATTGGTTCATTTGCAGTGGCTGGCAATCACGAACAAGCCTCTCCAAACTTGAGAAGGAGCTACAAATCCAAAACAATTGGTGTCCCTTTGGTTTCAACCAGACCTGCCTTTCCTCTGAAGGGCTTACCTGGACGCACGGCTTGTCCTGAGCTCCTGGCGTCCTGTAGTGGTCGCATCTCACCAAATAGCCCCTCCACACTGCCTGGAAGCGCGTGACCTGAGTCGTTTTTCCTTTTTTCTGAGCTGACGGACAGATTCGACCGAGACCTCGCATCGCATCCTGAAACGGACTTCGGATCCGGAGGCATGCAAGAACGTGGGGAAGTGTCAAACATCTGAAAGAGAAAACTGGCAACCAAGTCTCCCACACTTCCCTCAGAACTGATGAAAGGGAACAAAACTGGGCTCCTCGAAATGGTGCGAGGTAGAGCGGATGCGTGTGCAGACTGGGCGATATAGGTGCATGGCTAGAAAATTACAAGCATCATTGTTCCAGAGTAATGAGGTGATTTGTTTGGCCCCTCATATCACCAAAACTTTGAACAGATCTGTTGTCAACTTCTCTCAGGCGCCAGCGCAGTGGAGAAGCTTGGTATGCTTCTCATTGGACTGGTATCTCATGTACCAGCCTGGCAAGGGGGCCATTGGCAAGGCCAAGCTTTGGCCGGAAGAGAGGGAAAAGCTGAAGCAAGGGTCGCTGTGGCGGTGCTCAGCGGCGGCGTCCAAAGCCCGGCGTTCGCAGTGCCATTGGAGCTTATCCCAGGCTTCGAGGCCAGTCGGTAAACTTCAGAATCCGTTTAGGTCACTTCACTGGTCGACTTTAGGCAATCCGGATCACCTTCTTGGGGAGCGAACGCAGCCATCCACAACCCATTTCCAACCATTCCCGACAAAGATTCACGGATGGCTGGCAAGGTTCCTCGGACCCGAGGGCCCGGGGACCCTGCATGGAAACTTCCAAGTCTCCGAGCAACCCTGGCTGGGGTGCAACTCCCGGATTGGCGAAAAGCCAAAGTTGATCCCTCCAAGCCCAGGAGACGCGGAGTCGCCTTTCAGCAGTTGGAGGTTCTTCGCAGTCTCGGTCTTCGCCTTCCTCACGTCCCACCTCGGCCCGACAGCCTCCGGGAGAACTGGGGCCAAGGCAGAAAAAATCACAAGGGTCTCAGATTGGAGCAAAAAAGGAAAGCATTGCCCGCATGCGCCATCAACACTCCTTGCAAGAATTCTAGCTTCCCCAAATCACGATCGGTACGGCCGATCAAAGCGTCCTCAAGATGAGTTCTTGGCGCGCATGCGGATCACCATAAGGGAAGCCAACGTGGGGGTGGCCCTCTCACAGAGATTCTTTTATTTCTTCAGAAGTGAGTGATTGTTGTCCTTGAGTCCCAGCTCTCTCCATGGTCCATGTTCATCAGGCCCCAACATCCGCTTGCTCTTCTGGATGATCTTCGCCGCCTAACGTGACGTGCTGGGCTTGAAGAAAACCCAAACGGGGTTCAACCCATGTCGCCTGGCGCCGGTTTCTGACTTGGAGAACCCGTAGAAACCGTCAAATGAGCGTAGTCTTAGAAGGCTTCTTTCCGATTGGATTGATCTGCAGCAAGGGTTGTCGAAGATAGGCCTAGGCTTACAACGACATGTCCAAAACACATTACCGCCGCTTAAAGGCGATGTTTAAGACCACCAAAAGGGGAAATATCAGGCCTATGATGTCGGGACAACAGCAACCCGAGCCTTTCCGGAACCCGAGGAAAGACCAGAAAAAGCGCTAGGCCTTCAACTCCTTCTTGATGCGCTTTCGGGTGATGGCGCCCCGGATGTTCTTCTGCAGCAGCGCGATGGCCTTCTGCTCATGAGCCTTTGACCTGAGACACAAAGGACAAGGCCCAGCCCCCCCCCCCCGCCCCAAATTCCTCAGCTCAAAGAAATGCCGGGTGTGTGTGTGTGTGTGTCTTTCATTGATAGCCAAAGGGAAAACGGGAAACCCTGGATCTTAGGATTGAGTTGCCCCATGGTTGGGATTCGAAAAGGGGCTCAAACCCATATTTTGCCGGGTTTGAATAACACCACCCTCGGCCAAGCTTCCCGAAACTCCGCGAGAAGGGGCCAAGGAAACAAAAAGAGGGGTGGGTTGAAGGGTTAGGCTGCCGGGGAAAGGCTAGGTGTCCACTGCCAAATCGTTCGAACCAAACTCAAACCATTGCCAAGCGGACCCTTGAGGACCGGTCTAGAGGCCATAGGACTTTCTTCGACCCCCGCCTTGCAAGACAATCCGAACCCGCAGTGTAACACGCATATGGGTGCTTCCCTCTCCGGTGTGTGGTTTCATGTGAAAACGCCAGCTCAAGGGCCGCCTGTTCGTTTCTGAGACGGTGGCATGATGTGCGACGGGTCGTCAGCAATCACGTCATTGCGGAAGTTGTAGTAGTAGCCTCCCAGCTCAATATCAGCCGCATAAATGAGCAAGGGACAACATGCCGATGGTTCACCGAAAGGACTCGTGGGGAAGTGGGGAGTTTGGGTTTTTGCCCCCTTGTTCAGATTTCCAGGTCCGGCTGACAAGCTGCAGCCCAAAGGGTGCCAAGAAAACAGACGTCTGAAACGCGGGGAGTTCTGATCCAGCCTAGGTCCCTGTCCACCTGCGAATTATGCTCAAACTCACCGACCCTGCCCAGTGCCCGGTGAAGGCGGGGGTTCCCGGTTCCCGCCTTCCGCCGTGGGCGCCAAGCGGGGCGGCTTCAAGCCTCGGCCAAAAGCAGATGGGAGCAGAAACCAACGGATCCTTTTGTCGAAAACCCTTTTGAAAGGGAATCTCTGGGCTGTGCCATTTCGGGGGCCGCTGCTGACTCGGCCACAGACTTGATTTGCCTCAACTGGAGTCAACGTATCGTGCAAGGAAGCAAACCTCAAATCAACGCCAAACAACCACGAACCTACGTCTGGCATAGTCCCTGATCGACATATGTGGAGAAGCCCAGTGTACCTGCATGTCAAAGGGCTTTAGCTTCAACATGCGGGAGTTCCTCTGTCTGAACAAACTGACAAAACCTGGAGTCCTGCCTCGGAAGGCACAAAGTGCTCGCGGAAAAGCGAACAATCCCAACCGCCGGGCAACTTAGCGCACCATCCTGGAGAGAACCGCACGCCAGCAAACACCTTTGCTCCAACAAGCACGGCCTCCAACCGTGTGGGTGTGGGTCAAAAATAGGTACCCAAAATAGAATCCTGGCAAATGGAAACAAAGACTAAAACCTGCGGTCCCCTGGTGGTTCAGTTTTGACCCATACCCATGTCTCTCCATCCTTTTCTCTGGCCCTTTCAGATCCTCGTCCGGCCTTCCCACGACAAGGCGGAACTTCGGTTTTTGCTTCTAGGGTAGTGTTGGACCCTCTTTACACCACCCCCCAAACTTAGGGTACTATTAATAGAGGGTACTATTGATAAAGGAGGTGTAACACTAAAAGGTCCAAGACGTTGACTTGTAAAGGGCAATCTTCAAGACAAATCAAGCTTTGTCCTTCCGAAGCGGAACCCAAACAAACAGAGGGCCTTGCGACCCCAGTAAACCTGGGTTGTACCAACCCCCCGGGGAAAAAAACACACGCACTGTTTACACGACCTCCTTTTTGGTTCCCAAAAGCAGCCAAGGCCCAGTTTGCTCAAGCAACCCCGCCCCAAAACCAACCACACCGGTGGCGTCTTTCGCCAACCACTGAGCCGAGCGGCGCTTCAGGAACCAGTGCTTCTCCGGTGCCTGCAGCAACGCCGCCTCGAAGGTGTCTGCCTTGCGAACGGGGCCATTGGGGTAGAGTTGGCAATGGCACATGTTTTGACCCACACTGACGCACGCAATGAAGTACATAAATACAGACATATTTGTGTCTATATATCTATATATGTATATATATATATGTATATATATATATACATACATACATACAAATATGTATGTACATGTACAAAGGCATAGTACATGTACATAAGTGCGTGTTTACCTATGACATACTATACGTACACAAGTGCATGCATTGCTTGCAGCAGGACCTGACTCCAATCCCAACTTTTGCGAATCGACTCGGCGATTCGATGGGCTGCCGGGCATGGAAGAAGAGCCAGGTGTCGCCGCTGCGGGACCCATTCCGGTCCGACCTGACGCGGTGCCAGGCGACCGAACTCCGGCCATGGCCTGCAGGAAAGGCGGGGTCCTTTCCCCACAAGGAGATTTTTCCCACAAAAATATGGTCAAAAATGGCCGACCCAAAACCATATCAGGGATGTAAAAAAAAGCGGCTGCACCCATTTCGTATCCCTTGACTTTGGGGGCTTCCCCCCGTCAATCTGGAGTGAAGCCAGTATCAGGAACCACCAGAAAGGGCGTGCCGAGTGCTGATCCGGACGGAGGGTTTCTCGTAACTTGGAGGCCACCCGCCGGTCCCTTTCGACACTCTTGGTCCTCGTTGGCCCCTCCTGGAGCTCCTTCTACTAGGTCCTCCAGTAGAGTCTGTAGTCTATTTTAGTAGGGGAACCCTCCACCAAGAAAGGGCAAAAGCTCACCACTGGGAGACCTAGTCTAGAAACACCGAGAGGGGCGTCCGGTGAGATGTTCCGTGCGTGACTCCCTGGTTGCAAAAGCGTTGGCGAGGATAGGGACCCCGACGAGTTTGAGAACGAGTGAAAGCTAGCACCAAAACATGAGCCCACAATGACTTTGCGAGGCTGTGTAGCTGTGGAGGGGACCGTGGAAACCCCTTTTGGCTTATGTTTCAAGGGGAACCGAAATGAGAAGGAGAGCCAAGACAACACGAAGGTTGGATTGGTAGCTCATGAACCCGTGCTTTTTTTAAGACTGCCGGGTCCCTTGCGGCCCGACTCGCGAATTTGGGGTCCGCGCTGGTTGTCCCGCGCCAGAAAGCGACGGCGCATGGAGAAGCCAACGTTCAACAGCGGCAGGTGGTCATGCATCCGCGCCGCCTGTCTGCCCGACTCATCTCCGAATTCGAACACATGAGAATTAGTGCATCATGTTTCAAGTATTGGTTCTTGACTCAACTGGTATTTGCGCATGCATGTAATTTGGCTATAAAAGTGAAGGGTGAAAGTTCCTTTCTGCTACTCCGAAATTCACACACTGGGTAAGCCGTGCCGAATCTACTTCGGCCAGGAGTCGTGGTTTGCAAAGTTGAGAGCCAGCTTCTAGTCAGTCCTGGCAGCCGAACCAAAGTAAGTCAAACAATCGTTGGTTGAGCAAAAACCAGGCGAGAATGAACCCCTGTGCTATCGGGCAGGAAAAGAGCCTTCATCACAGGCGAGGTCACAACCCTGCTTGCAAAGCTGGCCGACAAGCGCTCAAAATAGGGTGAGCCAAGAAAGGCGGTTTGCCCGTTGGTGTCACTTTTAACCAACCTGAAGCGGGTACTCTTAAAAAAGATCCATAGTGTCCTGGTTTGACTAGCTTTGGTTGCGTGCTCCCTTACGCGCCCTTACCCCTACCGACTTGCCCACCGGCTGTTCAAGGGATGTGCTGGTTGCCATGTTGAGAGGGTAAAACGACCGATTATTCTACTCTCTACTCCCCAGCAAATCAACATGGAAGCCCCCCAAAAAACATCTTTGTTTGAAGAGGAATCAATTGTTTTGGGTCTAATTTTTGGGGAACCCATGTTTCTAAATGTCTTTTGTTGGTCCACATTCTCCTCTTCCAGATGGTTTCGCGCAAAAGGCGCCTCCGACGCAGTGAGGTACCGGCACCCGGGGATGGGCGAGGGCCAGTGCTTCTTACCCCGCGAGGACCTCGGGGCCCCGCGCGAGGTCGCTTGCGGACCCGCAGAAGAAGGCGGGTCCAAAGCGCCGGAAATTCGAGGGTCGAGTCCTTGAAAATTGAATCAACCATGGTTCGCTTCACGAAATGTCCAACTGTTGTCTCCCTCGGGTCGTTTTCGGGAAAGGATCCCTGCCAAGAATGGGGAAGCACCCTGAAACACCTCGGTACTGACGAAGTCTACCCAAGACCGGGTACATAGTCTGAGATTCTTCGGACTGTAAGCCCGGGGTTTGGATGCTCGTGCTCAAGACTCACTTGACATTTGGTGCCAAAAGGCGGCAAAGCAGGCCTTTGCTGCGGTACAGGTTTTTCTGTGCTGGTGGAATCTTGCGAAACTGGTCCCAAGTGCCCAATGAGGGGCGCTATGCTCACCCTCAATTGCCACACCCTGAGCGCCTGGATTCCAAGTTGTCCAGCGGGCTGCCACGTGTTCCCGCTCCAAAATCAACCGACCAAACGAGGCTGTGGTGTTTGTTTAGCGCAAGCATCTTGTCAAGTGGCTCCGCTAATCCGGGTAGTCCAAACGGAATGGACTCCATGGACAAAAACAAAGATGTCTCGGGGCCTGGCTTGTGGGATGCCAGGAAGCAAGTGGCGCAGAAGTAGTCCGTACCTTCGCGCGTGCCGTTCCGGCTTGCACAGTGCCACGATCCAACCCGATGATCGTCAAAAGGGTACAAGTTTGGCTCACGGAAAACAAAAGGCCCAATGGCCGCAACATGTTGCCATGTGGCCGGGCCCTCTGGGCAGATGCTTGTTTTCGATCGGGCATGTCAGCGGAGCACGCGTGACAACTTGCAGCTCCCCGATCACATTGGGGGGAATGCCAAAATAGGGCAGTATACCAACTGCTTACTCTACCTCTTTACATGTAGATGCAAATACATATATATATATATACATATGTATGTCCATGCACTCGTATCCGTCCATCTGTGCGTCCGTGTGTCCGTCCATTGGTCCATCCATCCATCCTTCCCTCCCATCCATCCCCGTAGCCTATCAATCAAGCTATGGATATATATATATATGTACATGTGTGAATATACATACATATATATATATATATGTATACATACATATCCATATGTGTGTGTGCACGAATCTGTTGATATGTATATGTATATGTATATGTATATGTATATGTATACGTATATGTTTATGTATGTGTATGTGTATGTGTATGTGTATGTGTGATTATGTGTGCTGTATCTGTATAGTGTACGGTGTATGGTCTGACCACGCAAGGGGGAACCAATTCTGATATGCTTTAATCTCATCCCGGTCATTTGAAAAGGATGCATTCTCATACCTCAGCAGAGCGTTTCATGGCTTTCTGCCCTTTTTGGCGTCAAAGCTGGGGGGTGCGTGACCCCTACAGGCCCCAAATCAAATGACCCTGCGATTCATATTCATCAAGATATACATATGCACTACAAACTATACACTATATGCTATGCACTATACACTATACTTGGTTGCGCCACTGGCCTTTGGCCCTTGGGTACGTCCCTGCACCCCGGTCGTCCGGAGACCGGAAGGTACACTGCTGGCACCAGACGATGGCATCGGGAATGCCACACCTGGCAAGCTTCGCGTCGCGCGACTGCCGACGGACCGTGACTGGTCAGCCTTGATCCCCAGACGAAAAAGAAAAAAGAAAAAAAGAAAAAACGAGGCTGAAGGCACCCCCGCTGAACTTGGAGCTTTTCAAGTAACCTCTGAAATGCCCCACGCCAAGCCCAGGCACATCTCTTGAGCAAATCGCACGCCAAGCCTACGGACGTCTGGAAAAGAAAATGTCCCAAGGCCACGTCTCCAAACCTGAACCAATAGTTTTCCAACTACAACCGCACGCTGCGAAACCGCAGGCAGCTGATCGAAGGTCAGTAAGTCAAAACACCGTAGCATCAAGTCCAAATCGGCAAGCCGTGCAGCCTATTGCAGCACTTGCCAGGCTCGCAATACCCCTGCATCTGTAAAACGCAAGAATTTCCGCCATGTACGTGGCAAACATTGTGCCGCGTGCAAACCAACCCAATGGCCGGATGACCGTTCAGGAGCTCGCAAATCTTGCGTAGCACCGATAGTTCTCTTCCAGCTTTTGAGTCGTGCGAAGTGAAAGAGAGCAAACGGCATGAATGAAGCTTTGTTGCCAGCGAAATCATCATAAGCACATCGTGTGTCCTCAAATTGGGAAACTTGAAATGCTGAGTTGTCTGTTGACTTTCCTTTCAAGCACCTCCGTTGGCTGGCATCAACATTCCCCACCCGAACAGCATGCAAACAACCGGATAGGTCACTGGATCATGGGGATCCAGATTGTTCGACCGCAAACGTGTTCTTTGGGTTGGGCCTATAAAGCAAGAAATACAATGGAGGCTAAAACAGGCTTGTTTGTTGGCAACAGGTCAAACGTTCATGGAAACTTCCAACCGACTTGTTGTGTCTAATTTCAGGAAAACTAGAGAGGCCAATATGCCAAACATGCCCGGTGGTCTCGCTACACTTCATCTGGACGAAGCCACGGTACCTGAGTTCACTAAGCGGAGCGCGTTACGAAAGAACCGGCGCCCGGTTCTTTCAGACTTCCGCGGATTCATACCGCAGGTATATGTGTGGGTTACATTTCAGCCTGTCACACAAGGACTCAACTGGCCCCACCATTTCACTGCTCATTGAGTCACCCCTTGCAGCAACTTCAATCTTGAAGGAATAAATGGCCTTGCCCGAGAGGATGTTGTTGGGAGGAAGGTGGCTTGTACTGGATCTGAATCTAGCCAGCCAAACCATCAGAAAGTACGTTAAAGCAGGAATGACTCCATGGTCACTACTCGATTTGGGGGATCAGGTGCAACAGTCAAAGCCGGCCACATGGCATTTTGGTAAACAAACAAATTATACCAGCATAAACCCCAAACAGCAAAAACGCCAGCACCCCAAACAGCACCTGTTGCACCAGCACCCCAAACCGCACACCACAGCCCTACGGTCAATCTTGCAAAACTTGCGCCCGCACCGTCACCAAACCAAACAGCACGCCAAAACTGCACGCGCTAGCACCCTGCCACCAATCTTGCAAGTTGCACCTGCACCATCACAAGCACCACAAACAGCTCCCCAAACAGTAGCATCTGCGCCAGCACCCCAACTGCACGCCCTGTCAATCTCGCAAATCACTTTCCCCGCTTTACTAGAAGTTAGAACCCCTATATCTTTCAGATATCTGGGGAACAAACAAACCAAGACCCATGAGGCAAACAAGGAACGAAACCCACTGGTGGGATCGCCTGCTCTGCTGGCAGGTGAAGTTCGGCTCTTTTGGGACAGAAGAATCATCTTTCCGTGATCTTCAGAGTTGGATTTTCACCCCTACGACTACTTTGTCACTGAAGGGATTCCCTTGGTATCCAATTTTCGCGCCCAGCTCGCTGAAGGCGCAGTGCATCACAATCCAACGCATTGCACTCTGATAGCTCATCTTTGGAAGCTGCTGTTTGCAGCCTTTCTGGACCAAACTCACCTAAAATGCAAGAGATGATGCTAAGTTGGACAGAGATCCCAGTGCAACCCTGTCATCATTCCACAATCGATCTATCCATGCTCAGAGGCCTGGGACCCCAATCCCAGGTTCATTCAGCATTCCATTCCCGCCCAAAAGGCAGAGATCGGCTGAGACCTGAGATCCGCACTCCCACAGGAACTCGTTTTGTCGAGTGTCCTGTCTGCAGGTCCATCGAGGACAAAAAGGTCGGAATCCCCTGAGTGGCCAAAAGGAGAAACCCTTTGCTTGAAATTTCAATGTGAAACCCCGGAGAAAAATGGAGATGTCTTCAGAGACAGGCTTTTGTTCCTTTTGCTTGCCTTGTCGTTTCACCCCTTGTCCAAATGCGGTAACTGAGGTGCAGGGTCGCACTTGGGCGAAGGTTGGATGGGACTTAGACAACCTGCCACAAAATTAGCGGTTTGAAGCGGTGTGACTGGCGGTCCAGGGATTAACTACGGCACAGTCGGCAAAGCATGGTCCAAAAACTTGGACAAACATGGGTCCTTCCGAGCCATGTACCCCGCGCGCCAGTCCAGTTGGAAAAAGTCAAGTGTGTTTCATAGGGCAAAACGCCTCCAGGCTTCCTTTGCTGGGAGCCAATTCGGCTGCCGCCCGTCCTCCAGGTGCTCGCGGAAGCGTCTGGCCGGTTGCAAGGCCACCCTGGTTTTGTTTGACCCCCAACCTGGTTTTGGCTCCAAAAGCACAAGGTGATTGCGTGTGTTTGTTGGAAACCCCCCCCGAAAGAAGGGCGGACCTTGTTGAGTAAACTACCAACAGGCCGGTAACCAATCACGAGGTACATACATACACCCCTCAGGCGGAGACGCATATTCGCACCGGGAACAGGTCTGCACCGCGATTCTCGGGGGTCAAATAGATGGGCCTAGTGGATGGACGATACCGATCGCCCCGAATGTGGATCCGACCATTTGTAGGGTATTTAAAGAGCATCCAAAAGCAACCCATAGAAAAGTAAAAGATGTCCTTTGCGAACGTCTTCCGTCACCCGGCTTCGCTTGGAATTAGTCTGCCTTGAAATCTCTTCAAGACCTGTTGTAACTGTTTGGTTTCATTTCAGTGTCCGGATTCTGAAACAATAGGTCATGCATGGTCTGCTTCATGAAAGCCATGCTGCCCCTTGCCCCTCGAGATTGCAGGATTCAGCAATGACAAACATCTCTGGAACACAAAGTGGCTCAGATCGCCCTTTCCTGGGTTTGAGGAACATAACTTAACAGTAAACCCACCCCCAAAAATTGCGGGGGCGTCCCTTATTATGGAGACAAACCACCAGCTTGCTCTTTCACCGCCGAACCCTCCACTTTGTGCCACAACTTCGCTGCTTGACATGTGCCATCTCCTCAAAAAATGCCCATGGACCATCCAAAAAAGCGCGAAGACAACTGGACACTTCAGGCTGGCAATGTGCTCCCAGACTCCGCGTCCTTTTGGAGACCCCATGCCCCGCCAACCATAATAACTCTCCGTGCTCAGCTCTGGCCTGATCATGGGATGCACAATCTGCATGCGATCCGACGGCAGGTGCACGTAGAAGCGTGTGTCCTGCTTGACGATGACCTGGTGAATCAACGTGAAATGCGTGCAATGCGTGCAATGCATGCATGCCTCCAAAGGCTTAACAATTGGTATTCATATCCTTGAGCCACGGACAGGAACCCATTGTTGGGAGGACAATCTTGTCTTTCACGATCCTGATTGTGGTTGTGGCTCTCTTTTCAAGGTCCCTGTTCAAACAAGCGCAGTGTGGTGATCATCCCCGATCACGTCAGGGGCGTTTAGCAGGCCTGGTAAGGCACACGTCTTAGCAGCTCCAAGGCAACATCGGACAACCCCTTGACATCAATGAACTCAGCGAAACGCATCCGCTTTGTGGGCTGATTTAGATTGAAACGGGAAGAACCACTGAAAGAGATTGGACCCCCCCCACTTTTGGTCACTGGTGCTCAAGGGAAACCAACATGAAACCAACCGTCTCAAGGGATGTCCTGATTCCTACGCATAACCCACTTGTTTGGTGCAGCAAGCATGAACACGGGCACGAAGCGGTAGCCGAACCAGCGAGGCGGGGGACACAACAAAGAGCGCAGACCCCGGAGACAGAACACTCATGACATGGCCTCAGCAATCCGGCTGCCAAACGAAACTTGGATGCGTCACTCATTCATCCCATGCGGCGGTCCCGTATCTTGTGTGACAGCACATGAGTTGAACCCAAGTCCGCCACGACAAATGAGGCACGACGACTTGTTTCACTTGTGTGGGTCATGTCGTCTTGGCCTCTCGACAGATTTCGCCACCTCCGCTACAAACAATATGACTGACTCCTGGTTCATTTGGGGTTTGCCCCCTCTTTCTCGCCCTCCCAAAGTGAATCATAGACTGCCAGCGTTTTCAAGTTTGTTGCTCACCTCAGTCACCAAAACTTGGAATGAAAGATCTCCACGCTGGGACTCTTATGGCCATGCTCATTGGGGCTCACCTCATCCAGTCCTGGATCCTGGTCGAGCAAGGGAGCCCTTGGTTGACAACTTTTGGATGGGGTCGCAAACGAAAATGTGAAGCGGTGCCACTACTGGTCCTTTCACTCGAAACCGATCTTAGCGCGCGCTTTCGTGCCTCCCATTCCGGAGCCAGCGAGTAGCGGAGAGCAAACCTCGAGATGTGTCTGAGCCCTGTTTGCCCTCATGCAGTGGCCCCTCCCCCCAAAAGTAGAGGCTTCTGTAATCAGTGCCACCTTTGGTCCAAGGGGCCATCATCTTGACAACTCACAGTTTGCCGATCAGCTGCTGGTCTTGTGGTGAATCCAAGTCCGACCCTTGGCCCCATTTTCTTTCTGAGGTAGTTCCTAAACTGTGGAAACCCCCACTTCGATCCTACCATGCCTGTGATCACTTCGTCGCTTTTGACCACTCACGGAAAGCCGCATGAACTGCGGGGCCGCCAACTTGAGTAACTCACCTGCCATCTCGTGTCCATCCAAAACTATCCAAAACCCCGCAAAGGTCCACTCGGGTCCCCGGTCGACTCGGGACTCGGGTCCGGGCAGGCTGTACCAGTAGAGCTCCGGCATCTGGCGGACCCCCAGCTGCGCGGCCATGTCCTTGACCATCTTCGGGGTGATCTGGCACCTAACTATCTCAAAAGCTGACGTCGGGCTGAGTCCCAAAAACAGGTGCCCTCCCCAAACACAAAACCTGAAGAGGACCATTCTCCTAGAGGGGCCCTCTTTCAAGTTCAATGTGTGTTTTTCGGAGGGTAAACAATGAACTGTACTTCTGCTTGAGACTCTTTTGGCATAGTCGCCCAAACCTCATGTGGGGACCGCGAAGCCTTGCCTCCCCGACCAGGTGTCTTCCGCGTTAGTGAGTTTGTTCTCAGGTACTCTTAGTTGGTGGTGTGGATTCGTGGGTTTTGGGGAGTTTAACCCATGGCTCTTGCAGAAGGTAAGCGGGAAACCCATTTGTTGACATACCTCACCTGGTATTTGTGGGTGGCATCTCTGGTATGTTTGAGCCATTGTCTTGTAGCTGGCAGTCCTTAAGGCGGGTTTGTGCGGAAAATACCTCACCTGGACCTGTCCTTCCGACGTCTTTCTTGGTTGACAAGTTTGGGTTTGCCTCCAAAAGGAATCCTACACATTTTGAAGGAAGTTGGCTTGCTTGCTAGCAGGGAATGAGAGAATGGCCCTGATCGCATCTCTATTGCTTCTCAAGCAGCTGCAGGTAGGGGACACTCCCTAACTAGCAAGTTTGGGCTGACAAGCTTGACACACCTCCAAACTGAGAATCAAACACCATCCTTTTGCGGCATGTGGGGCTTTTTGGAGTGGGCTTTAAATGGAAACCAGAAGGAAGGAAACTGCCCATTTTGGAAGAGGGGTGTTTAGGACACACCCGCCAAATTTGTTGTCTCAAAGTGCCAAAGACTACCCCCACGCCAAGTTGCTTCAAGCGGGGTGGTTGCGCAAGCAGGTTGCGGTACTTTTAAGGTTTACAGTCTTAAACCGGAACCATACTAATGTTGTGTTCAAAAACCATCCCACGAGGCCAGACGCAGGTCTCAAGTTTTAGGAAGGCCCAAAATCGAAATCGGATTGAAGATCAAATCAAAACAAACGTCGCCATCTGAAGGACGTCCAACCCAGTTTGGTGTCTTGGTCAAAGTGATAAAGTGAGCATGGTCATGACTCAACGCTGAACCCGGACGGCGGGCAACAGCCCAAAAAGTGAACCGGACCCCCGCTAGAATAGGTTGCGCCCTCTCGCCCAGCTTTCTTCTTCAGCTGGTCAACACTACCTGGGTGTTGAGCAGGGTGTCCGCTTGCTTAGTCGGAGAGTGTTTAAAAAATCGGTGTTTGCCCTTGTTTTGTGGAGAGGTGTGGAGAAAAACTGGCTCCGAAGCCCCTTTTTTTTTGCTTGGAATCCAAAAGCAGTCCCCTCCCACATCCCAGTTTTCCCAAATGAGGGGGGGGGGGGCATTTTTGGCTATACCCAGGTACACTTACATTCGGAGGGTTGATGTCCCCAAAAGGCTAACCGCTGGTTTTAATTCACCTTAACAGAAACTCAGAGTTTTGGCTTCCGGGGTCCAGGCTGCTTCATGTTGTCCGGTATGCCGCGGGTGCGCAGGAAGACCCGCATGGCGCTCAGGCCCTTGAGCTTGAATTGCCTCGGACCGCTTGGGCTTAGCCTAAGCCCCAGGTGGCCAAAGTCATCCCTTCAGTGGCAAAGGGCAGCACGAGGAACACCCAAAATGAGGAAGAAAGAAGAGGGAAGCAGGGGAAAAGAGGGCAGACAGAAAGAGAAGAAAGCAGTGGCAAAGCCAGAGCGGGGCAACGAAACGTAACAAACGGAAAGAAAATGGAAGTGGAAGGTGAAAAAGTGAAATGGAAGTGCCTAGAAGGCTACACTAGTCTGAAGATAGAACCCAGGATCCCCAAGAACAAGCTGTGCGTGCGGGAATTCTGTTTGGAGCCACCCTTCTGGGCTCCATTTTTGATCTTCACGGTGAGGTCCATTAACCTGAAACACAAGGATTCTGAAAGCGCCAAAAAACGCATAAGATTTGGTTAGAACAATCCCCCACAAACTATGCCTACTACAACTTGGGGGTGAGCGGTCCATCAGACCTCAGGTAAAAAGCATTCTAGAAGCATTGCAAAGAATTCTATCCAAATGCGGCCGTGAGCTGAGCCATTTGACAGGGGTGAGTCGTGGGTCCTGGCGCCCACAAGCATTGCACCATTTAAGCTGGACTCCTTCAAACCATAGGTGTCCTGTTGGGGGAAATAAATGGCCCTGGTAGATGATGAAACCACCAGGTAAACCAGGGCCATCTATTTTTCGAGCAAAACAACCAAAAAGGACACCTATGCTTCAAACTGCAATGCTCAATCTTTCCAAAAAGATGGTTGACCCTCGAAGAATGCGTCCCTCTCAATATGAGTCTAGGCTCAGGGCATGCGTCGTTTGCAGCATCATGGCAATTCTCGGAATGGGATAAGTACCGGTGCAAATAGTAAAAGGGCCGGACACGGGATTAGCACTGCAAAGATATCCCAGTAAATGGGGTGCACTGTGATGCCAGTGGGCCAAGCTCTGGTACATCTGTTAAGCAGCCTGAGCACTGAGCCACACGAAACCTGAGCCACACGAAACGTGACCAAGTTTGCCCCCACGCATTGGGCTGCAGGCTTGATTTGAGCATCCAGTACGTCCGGGCCAGTGTTGCCTGCAGGCGCACCAAAGGGTGTTTCTCACATGGTGCCAGGCAGAGAACTGATCTTCCAGATACCCACCAAAGGTGCTTTGTTAGGAGGAAGGCAAACCTGGCCGACATGTTGGCTCATGTTTTGGGCTTCGCCTGTGGGAAAATCACGAAATCGGCTCTTCCAACATAGGCAGCAAAAATCTTAAGCATCTGTCGGGAGCAAATATTGATACGGTGCTAAGAGCAATCTCCGAGAATTTGCCGAACGATCCCCAAGCAGTATGGATGGACAAAACAAATGCTTTCCCTTGCTCCTTGGGGTCATCCATCCCGACTGGTGCGAAATGGATTCCACGGCATCCCAATGGCTATCGCCTTTCCAAAAGAATGGCGAGGTCAGCGGCTTGGGCTTGGGCACATCGGGCGTGTGGGACAGTCCAAATGCCAGGAGGACATTGTTCGGGGGGCGACATGAAGACAACCATTTGAAGACATCCCTTGCATAAGGTCTGTTTGCCGCCATGTTCCGACTTCAGACAATGTGAAGGGACTGGCCTAGGTTGGGTCTCAAAGGGGTGCGATCTCAATCCAGAAAACCAATTCTCCCCGTGCTACGAAACGGGCCAAGAGGGGTCCAGAACTAGCCCGCAACGCACGCAAGGGCAAACTCTGAGAAATCCACATGGCAGGAATGTCCCGGTTGAGGTGAAAAGGCCTGCAGAGCTTACCCTCCTGGCAGCTGCCGAATGATAATTACCAAGTACACCTAAAGTGACAGTAATCAAATGTGGTGTTATTTGTCTCTGTCTTGTCTTGTCTTCTATTTTATCTGGCGTTATGTTATGTATGTCTTATCAACCGATATGTGTTTCTTTAATGTCTGTGTTATCTATATTTATGTATAAATCGATTAACATTTTTATTTGTTTGATTATTTCCTCTTTACCTCTTTATCTTACTTCTTGCAATCAGAACAGTGTAGTGAAGAAATAGAGACTTGTTAGGAAGATAAGTGATAGAAATCTGATGAGTTGTTGCTTATCCATATCTTGTTCATTTACGATGTTCTAGTTTTGATGGGTGGTGTGGAGGAGAGTGAGACCCGTTGTCCGCTCCGCACTTTTAACGACCTTGGACGCTCGAGGAACAACATGACAGCAAACCCATGACACCCAGTCGCCCCAAACCCCCGCCCCTCTGCGAAGAACCAAGGGCCTCGTCGAAGCTTTAAGTTCAGCAAGCACGCATTTCGCCCTTCCATGTTCGACCCTTTCATTTTGGCGTGGGTCGCCTCCAAACCTCCAAACCTCAAACCAACCCCCCAAACCTCCCAAACCTCCAAAACCAAACCTCCCAAACCTCCCCGCCCAAACCTCCCCGCCCAAACCTCCCCGCCCAAACCTCCCCGCGGCCGGATTTGCGGGCCCCCACCTTTCTGCTGGCGATTGATCTCCTCCGGCTGGGCGCAGGTCTCCTCCTCCTCCCGCAGGCCTTCGGACGGAGGTCGGATTGGCGTTTCGAGCTCGCGCCCCACCAAAATTCCGCGGGCCAAAAGCCATGGTGAACCCTTTGAAGAGGGACAAAAAGATCCAAAAAAGATCCCCGCCGAAGAAATGTTTTTTTCCTTCACCACAAGAAATACACTCACATATGCCCAAAGTGAGAGATGCCGCTGACAGTCGACAACGAAACCGGCGTCGGATGAGACTCGAGACCTCCAATTGGCTGGCCTCCTTGTTGTTCCCCTTGAAACCCGTCCAAGAAAGGGGCGCCTAGATGTTCGACACATAGCCCGGGCTCAAAGCAGGTTCCATGTGAACTTGCGTAACTTGCGGTCCATCAAAAAGCCAGGCTGCCAGGAAAAGCGAGTTCAAGTCCTCAGCCCACACTCCCCCTTTGTCAGATCTGGGCCGCGCGGCCGTACTCCAACATCTCATCCTTCAGAGCCTTGGCGGTTGCCTTGGGACTCAACGCGGAGCTTTCCGGGGATGGGAGGTACGCACGCGCGCACGTGGACGCCCACGTGGGCGTGCAGGTAGGCATGCACGCATGTGTGCAAGTGTGCGTGTATGTACCTAAGAACGCATGCATGCATATATGTATCTATGTATGTACGCATGTAAAGAGCTTGCCAGCCACTATGAGGAATGAAGCTATGCTGCGATGGCAATCCGGAAGTTCATAAGCTGGCACATCATCTTCGAGTCCACATACAGCGTGGCCTCCGTGACAAAGTCTCGCTTCCTATTCAAAATTGCTTTGCTTCCTATTTCAAGGAACGTCGATCTGGGCAGGCAAAACCAGCTGCGCCCAATCTGGCTATGAGATGCCGGCTCCCCCTCCCCCCCCCAGCTTAGACGAACAAGGAGGCAAGCAACCTGTGCATCAAGGGCTAGCGTC